ATATCTTAACCCTACTGTTAGACCTACCTGAAAAACTAAAAAGCTATTTATTTAATTCGAAGGCCTGTCGTTATTTTTTTATTTGTGCTATCATTATTCATTTCTTTATTTGTTCTTATTTTATTACTGACTGCTTACTTGTCATTTTTTATTCAATTCAAAGTTTGAAATCAAGCTATCTCGTGCTACTGCACCACAATTACCCCGCTGTAAAATTAAAAAAACACTGAGAAAGACTTTGTGAGATAGCTAGTTATAATGGTAATTAAATAATGTTTACATATGAATAAAAGCCTACATTAAAATCCGTCATATAAATTGGTCTCTTCATTAGAAATTAGCCTACTGATTGCCACCATTGATGGACAACATTTGTTAATAATATTAAAAATATCTGTATGACATTATATTCTGCAGTTCTTCCCTGTTGTACCGAATATCTATACTTTTCAAATTATCATATCGAAGTTAGAAATTCAAATGTTGTGACAATTTATTTTGTAGGGTGCCACAAGTTTGTTAAAATTTCCAAAGGGTGCCGCGACTAAAGAAAGGTTGGGAACCACTGTCCTAAACTCCTGAAACATCGCAGGCTCATATTTTAAAGCAACCAATGCAATTTTGGAAAGAAATCAATGTGTGAAAATATTCAGATGTAACTCCCTTTTGTAATCGTTAACATTTTCATAAGTAAGTGTAACTTAATTACACCTTTCCCAGTAACTGTAACAGATTACGGTTACATTTATTTTGTAATTAAATTACGTAATTTACATTTAGTTATTTCGCTTTTATTCAAAGTGGTTAAAGTAGTCAATGTTTGAAGAGGATGAAAACCTTTCATCAAAGCTGTCCTGAGACACAAGAACGCGTCCTGGTTTTAGGACAGCTTTGAAGAGGGATGCGCCCTCACCTTCCTCCTCCTCCTCCTCCTCTTCCTCGCGGTCGCAGAGCGGGGGTCCGTCTCTCTGCTCGCTGCTGCTGCTGCTGCTGGGGTTCGAGGCGAGCACCAGAGGCCTGAAGATCTCCTCCATCGTGTCGAAGTGCTTGAAGCTGGAGCTGCTGCTCTGCCTCTTGGCTCTGTAGTAGATGGCCTTGAGCGTCTTCCAGCGGTGCTTGACCTGGTCGCAGGAGCGCGTGAAGCCGGCCTCCCGGTGCCTCGCGCGCACCCTCCGGAAGATCAGGCTGTTGCGGTGCTTGCGTCCGTCTCTGTAGCGCTCGATGTTCATCTGCTTCAGAGTCTGCAGGAGGAAATCCGTCTCCTCCTCGCTCCAGAAGTGCGTGCTCCTGCGACTGCTCGACATCTGGCGGATCCCGCGGACACAAGCGAAGGAATTCTGAATAAGAAACTCAATTCAGACTAACGCCATTCGTTGGATTCGGATTTCAGGAACGGACCGAACGGAAAGCGTGCGCTTCAGCCAATCACAGGGCTGCGCCCCGCCCCCTGGCTGCTGACAGCCCCGCTCTGATTGGTCGTACGCTGTGGGGTCGCAGTGTCATAGGTCAGGGAGGCTGTCAGTCAATGCTAGGCCCCGCCCCTCTGATGGCAATCGGATTATAGCGCTCACGTGACGCGTCTTTAATCCGACACAGAAACAGGAGAAACATAACCTCATATTTCTGCCATATTCTCCACATACAGAGGTTACGGTGGGGTTTCTACATTTATAAATGACAAAGTGTTGTCCAACTTTCTTCTTCTATACGAGCATGTAATATTTGGCTCTTTGAACTGAAATTAAGTTTACATGATCAGTCTCAGGATTATATACTAGTTAATCTCATATGCATCGTTGTAAACTCAGCAATCAGAAACCTCTTTTTTGTGCTATTTCAGGAATTAGATCATTATATGAGCACCATTGAGGAGAGTACAAAGGAAAAAAAAGCTGTACATTATTTGGTACATTTAGCAAGGCCTTTCATTATTTATTTATATTTATTTGTTGGTTTTATCTATACATGTATATCTCATAATAACAGTATATATATATATATAATACATTATAATGGGGGTTTTCAATTAATGAGTAAAATAAAGCTTGCGGTAAACATAACTTGACGATACTTTTACGTGTTGTTCTACAGCGTATATTAGACGCATTCATACCCAAAACACACATTTTGAGTGAGTTATGTTCGTTTTAGAAAACGTATGAGTTACTTTATACAAACTAAATAAAAGGTTATGTAAATTTTGGCAGGTTATTTTACATTCATTTCATGCATGCAAATTAATAAAGTGATGAATGGAAGTTGGGCAGTTCAATTAAGTATAGCATTTTTGTAATAGCTAAATGAAAATGGGCAGATGTGGGATCACAGAGAAATTAAATGTTTTTTTTTAATTATTATTACTCAAATGTGTATAACCACGGTTTTACTACAAACAGCATGCTTAAACTATGGTGAGTGTAGCTAACTGTTTTAACTGTAATAACCTTTTTTATTTGTTGCAAAACCATGTGTAATTTTCCTACGTTTTGTTACAAACAACTTTTACTGTTATTTTATAATGAAAAACAGTAGTAATATATTTATAATATTTATAGAAAGCATTCATTGTTAGAAAAGATCATTTATGCCATGTACTGTAAATGCTCTACAACTTTGAGGCATTAATTTTAACATATATACACCACATATTTTGACCATACTTTCTTCTTTCACAGCAGGAGCATATTTTCTGAGAGACACCAGGACTGCAGCTGACTGCTGCGGCAGCAGACATGGAAATGGACTTTTATGTATATATAAGTTGTCCAGCCGAACTGTTCACTTTTGTATTTGGGGGAAAAGATTATGAGGTGTTCTGCACAGAAATGGTTGATAAAGCAAAGTACACAATCTTCGCCAGATTTGAGGAAGAATGAGTCATCCTTCAGGATCATAAATAAAAAAATCAATCAATGATAAAAATACATAAAAAAAAATCAATAATAATTTAAGTGTCTCGATTAAAATGGTCTCATGATTATTTTAATATATATTGTATTGCCAGCCCATGTAGCACTCGTCTGACATTGCTCTCATTGCTGTGATATCGATTATAATAAATATGATACAAAAACTCATACAGCAACATTGTTGCCCCAATATCTTGAATTTTAGGGCATAACTGCATTTATGATCATATGTGTCAGCAGTCAACTATATGAAGTGTAAGATGACTGCAGGTCTGGGGGCGGGGCCAGTGCGTTAACTGCGTTAACATACTTTAATCACATTATTTTTCATAACTAATTAATTAAGTTAACGCGTTAAACTGACAGCCCTAGTTACGTTACTTTTTAAATCTGGACAGGGCTCGCTTGTTTGTTTTTAATATAAAAAGTTCTTCTTTTACAAACGCAAAAGCCCTTTCACACTAAAAGTGAAGTGAATCCGCCTCAGGCTGAAGGACATGTCATTTCTCGTCTGTACAGTAGAGGGCGCAGCATGAAAAGGAAGTTCAACACTATTCAGCAATAACACAAATGTGTGATTTTTGCTTAGTATGCTTGAATTGGATCATTGAAGGTCAGTAGCAAAGACATTGGTTAATAAAATGGCATTAAACACTCATAAAATATATTTGCCTTATTTAACATATTTAATTATTGCAGGTTTATATAATATTTGACAGTTTTTATTGATTGTGAGGAACACTGAATGTGTTTGTGTGCAGTGAGATGAGTAAACACATGTTGATATTTAGTCTAGAACTACAGTAAGATCATGTTCACACACAACGCTCTGCACTTACTCCTGATTTCTGTCACCATGGCAACACCAGAGCTGTCACTCAATACATGGAAACAAAGTAACTGCTGGTACTTATTTGAAAAAGTAACTCAGATATTTCCTTCTAATTTAAAAAGTGATGCATTACTTTACTAGTTACTTAAAAGTAATTTGATTACGTAACTGGCGTTACTTGTAATGTGTTCCCCCCCCGACACTGCTGTAATGATCTCAGTGATGAACCACTGTGCTCCTCGTGCAGGCTGAAGTCCACCGAGTACCTGGAGCTGCACTAAACTGCACGTGCCCATCAGAAACACCGCCACTGTGGTCATCCATCTGACCATGAGCCAGCTCTTCCTGGAGACCTTCCAGACGTATGTGAAGAGGAATGCGGTTTACAAGTGTCCGAGTGGACAGGTGAGCACTGAAACCATCGGGACACAGCACATCTCCAGATGAACACTTACTGCACTGAAGCAGCTCAGCTTTACTTGATTCTCCATCAATCATGTTTTAGAGTCTCAAATCTGATCCTCAGGATCTTTTGAGGAGCGTTTGTTTCCAGCAGCTTTACTTTCACTGTTCCTCAGCGGAGGAATGATCTTCACAAGCCTCCAGAACATCTCACATCTTCTGAGGAGCCTTTATTTCTTCAGCTCTCAATCACTGCATTATATGTTTGGAGCATTTCAGTCTCATCTTACTGAGACACATTACTGGAGATATAGAGCGACTGCTGATATTTAGATAATTTTATCTCCGTATCAGCTCTGCTGTTATAAAAGATCTCATTGATTTATATTACAAGCAGCAGAAGCAGAATTTCATCATACAAATATAAGCCTCTGCAGCAGAGTCATCTTTTTGCTCAGTTTGAGTCTCTGAATAAAATAGAGCTGTTTTTTCCTCCATATTCTCTCTGTATCAGACTATATGAGCCCTAAAAGCCTGATATGATACTGTTCCATTAAAAAAAAGAAACCTTTTTCCCGCCCTGGCTATTTGGTCTAAACATTTGGTCTGGTTGAGCGCATAAAAATCAGAAGCTGTATTCACAAAAAATATTGTAAGGCTAAAAATTGCTCCAAATGTGGAAATCACTCCTAACTTGAATTCTTGTAAATGTTTCATCTTACAAAGCGTTGTAAGGCTAAAACTAGCTCCTAAACCCAGGACTGCTTGGAAGTCCTACTGAGGATCCTAAAAGAAACTTAAAAACGATCAAAAGCACAGCTAAGTGTTTATACTGGAATATTACAACGACATCCACCTTTTACAGAGATACGGCCTGAATCACAGCTGTTTCCTCTTTGTCTTGTGTTTGGTGGTTCTGTATTATCCAGCGCTATATGTCTATTATTCTGCACTTGCACTGCTAAAGCTGCGGGCGGCGATGGAGGACAGTAGAGAAAAGCACAAGCCAACCACCTCTGTCAGCTGCCCTTCTGTGGGCATCACAAGCTGAAACACCTGCTTCACCGACCCGCCTGATGAGCAGACCCCTTACCAGCGCATATAGAGCATGTATAGAGTGCATCCGGGAACTATTCACAGCGCTTCACTTTTCCCACATTGTGCTGTTATCACACTTCACATTGGGACACAGCTACAGTCATGTTACAGCCTTATTCCAAAATGAAATACATTGAAAGAAGTTTGTTTGAAATCTTTGAAAATGTATTGAAAATGGATAGAAAAAGATGCGTTTTCTTGCATCTTATTCGTGTGTGTATTAGTGTATCTAGTGTACGATGTAGATCTGATTCGTGCAGCGTATTAGTGTGGACAAGGCCTCAGACAACATCAGCACCTGATTCTCTAGTGAAGGGCACTTTTCTTCATTCTTCTAATAAACTCCAGCATATCTGAAGCACACCAAGACAACAGTTTCTTTCTGTATTTGTGCATTTTCATTCAAATGATTATTTCTTATAATAGTGTTTTGTACACACATCTGGCTGTGTTTCTCTTTGCGGAAACATAAGCTCTGAACTCCCTGTTGAAAAAACCAGCATATGCTAATTAGGTATGTTTTGACGCTGGGATGCTGGTTTAAGCTGGTCATTTGCTGGTTTAAGCTGGTCCTATGCTGGTTTATGCTGGTCCTTCGCTGGTTTAAGCTGGTCCTATGCTGGTTTATGCTGGTCCTTCGCTGGTTTAAGCTGGTCCTATGCTGGTTTATGCTGGTCCTTCGCTGGTTTAAGCTGGTCCTATGCTGGTTTATGCTGGTCCTTCGCTGGTTTAAGCTGGTCCTATGCTGGTTTATGCTGGTCCTTCGCTGGTTTAAGCTGGTCCTATGCTGGTTTATGCTGGTCCTTCGCTGGTTTAAGCTGGTCCTATGCTGGTTTATGCTGGTCCTTCGCTGGTTTAAGCTGGTCCTATGCTGGTTTATGCTGGTCCTTCGCTGGTTTAAGCTGGTCCTATGCTGGTTTATGCTGGTCCTTCGCTGGTTTAAGCTGGTCCTATGCTGGTTTATGCTGGTCCTTCGCTGGTTTAAGCTGGTCCTATGCTGGTTTATGCTGGTCCTTCGCTGGTTTAAGCTGGTCCTATGCTGGTTTATGCTGGTCCTTCGCTGGTTTAAGCTGGTCCTATGCTGGTTTATGCTGGTCCTTCGCTGGTTTAAGCTGGTCCTATGCTGGTTTATGCTGGTCCTTCGCTGGTTTAAGCTGGTCCTATGCTGGTTTATGCTGGTCCTTCGCTGGTTTAAGCTGGTCCTATGCTGGTTTATGCTGGTCCTTCGCTGGTTTAAGCTGGTCCTATGCTGGTTTATGCTGGTCCTTCGCTGGTTTAAGCTGGTCCTATGCTGGTTTATGCTGGTCCTTCGCTGGTTTAAGCTGGTCCTATGCTGGTTTATGCTGGTCCTTCGCTGGTTTAAGCTGGTCCTATGCTGGTTTATGCTGGTCCTTCGCTGGTTTAAGCTGGTCCTATGCTGGTTTATGCTGGTCCTTCGCTGGTTTAAGCTGGTCCTATGCTGGTTTATGCTGGTCCTTCGCTGGTTTAAGCTGGTCCTATGCTGGTTTATGCTGGTCCTTCGCTGGTTTAAGCTGGTCCTATGCTGGTTTATGCTGGTCCTTCGCTGGTTTAAGCTGGTCCTATGCTGGTTTATGCTGGTCCTTCGCTGGTTTAAGCTGGTCCTATGCTGGTTTATGCTGGTCCTTCGCTGGTTTAAGCTGGTCCTATGCTGGTTTATGCTGGTCCTTCGCTGGTTTAAGCTGGTCCTATGCTGGTTTATGCTGGTCCTTCGCTGGTTTAAGCTGGTCCTATGCTGGTTTATGCTGGTCCTTCGCTGGTTTAAGCTGGTCCTATGCTGGTTTATGCTGGTCCTTCGCTGGTTTAAGCTGGTCCTATGCTGGTTTATGCTGGTCCTTCGCTGGTTTAAGCTGGTCCTATGCTGGTTTATGCTGGTCCTTCGCTGGTTTAAGCTGGTCCTATGCTGGTTTATGCTGGTCCTTCGCTGGTTTAAGCTGGTCCTATGCTGGTTTATGCTGGTCCTTCGCTGGTTTAAGCTGGTCCTATGCTGGTTTATGCTGGTCCTTCGCTGGTTTAAGCTGGTCCTATGCTGGTTTATGCTGGTCCTTCGCTGGTTTAAGCTGGTCCTATGCTGGTTTATGCTGGTCCTTCGCTGGTTTAAGCTGGTCCTATGCTGGTTTATGCTGGTCCTTCGCTGGTTTAAGCTGGTCCTATGCTGGTTTATGCTGGTCCTTCGCTGGTTTAAGCTGGTCCTATGCTGGTTTATGCTGGTCCTTCGCTGGTTTAAGCTGGTCCTATGCTGGTTTATGCTGGTCCTTCGCTGGTTTAAGCTGGTCCTATGCTGGTTTATGCTGGTCCTTCGCTGGTTTAAGCTGGTCCTATGCTGGTTTATGCTGGTCCTTCGCTGGTTTAAGCTGGTCCTATGCTGGTTTATGCTGGTCCTTCGCTGGTTTAAGCTGGTCCTATGCTGGTTTATGCTGGTCCTTCGCTGGTTTAAGCTGGTCCTATGCTGGTTTATGCTGGTCCTTCGCTGGTTTAAGCTGGTCCTATGCTGGTTTATGCTGGTCCTTCGCTGGTTTAAGCTGGTCCTATGCTGGTTTATGCTGGTCCTTCGCTGGTTTAAGCTGGTCCTATGCTGGTTTATGCTGGTCCTTCGCTGGTTTAAGCTGGTCCTATGCTGGTTTATGCTGGTCCTTCGCTGGTTTAAGCTGGTCCTATGCTGGTTTATGCTGGTCCTTCGCTGGTTTAAGCTGGTCCTATGCTGGTTTATGCTGGTCCTTCGCTGGTTTAAGCTGGTCCTATGCTGGTTTATGCTGGTCCTTCGCTGGTTTAAGCTGGTCCTATGCTGGTTTATGCTGGTCCTTCGCTGGTTTAAGCTGGTCCTATGCTGGTTTATGCTGGTCCTTCGCTGGTTTAAGCTGGTCCTATGCTGGTTTATGCTGGTCCTTCGCTGGTTTAAGCTGGTCCTATGCTGGTTTATGCTGGTCCTTCGCTGGTTTAAGCTGGTCCTATGCTGGTTTATGCTGGTCCTTCGCTGGTTTAAGCTGGTCCTATGCTGGTTTATGCTGGTCCTTCGCTGGTTTAAGCTGGTCCTATGCTGGTTTATGCTGGTCCTTCGCTGGTTTAAGCTGGTCCTATGCTGGTTTATGCTGGTCCTTCGCTGGTTTAAGCTGGTCCTATGCTGGTTTATGCTGGTCCTTCGCTGGTTTAAGCTGGTCCTATGCTGGTTTATGCTGGTCCTTCGCTGGTTTAAGCTGGTCCTATGCTGGTTTATGCTGGTCCTTCGCTGGTTTAAGCTGGTCCTATGCTGGTTTATGCTGGTCCTTTGCCAGCACATGACCAGCATAAACCAGCATCCCAGCGTCAAAACATACCTAACCGGCATATGCGTTTTTTTTCAACAGGGCTGTGTTGAATCTCTTCTTCAATAAATGCACAGCAGATCTGTTGTATCGAGCTGATTATTGAATAGAGTTTATAAACAATGTATATAATACGAGTTTGAATAAAACGACTGATATCTTTCATGATTTATAAGCGAGTCGTGTGCATGATGATGGTTTGTATGGAAGGTTTGTATTAATGTAGCACAGCTGAACAAAGACACACAGAGCGCTCTATTCTTAAAGCATTTATTTGGCTCGATTCCTTCATGTGACACACACATTACACTGTATATGCTGTTACAACCGAAACCCAAAAGAGGAGTTTGACGAGCATAACTGTTGAGTATATGGTGCTTCCTATAGTGCTTGATAATGAACAGTATTTAGGAACATGTACAGTACAGGAAATATACAGTCAAATTACACTATTACAAAGAAGAAGAAAACAGCTTTGAATTAAATTAAAATTCTCTGTTGTTAATGTACAGCACTGCAAGTGAAAGTACAGAAACGGACTCTGTCAGACATTTCAATACATTCATGATGTCTCACACACAACACGAGCCTGACGGCATTCAGAGCACATTAAGGCACGACTGAGAAAACTACTGAAGCACTCCAGAACACAGTTAGTGATGATACTGTTGTGTGTGAGATGCTCTGCTGCAAATCATCAGAATACTAATGCTCACACGTCTGTTCTCGAGTGCCAAATCAAGCCTATAAAACCCTCTGCGTGCCATTCTGAGTTGGATTGTTAATAAAAGAGTGAAATCAATAATGTGTGAAACTATAACAGCAGTTAAGCAAGTTAGTCTGTATGCGTGTGATGTAAAGTGCATGTGGTTCACAAGTATTGCATCTTCACAAGCACGTGTGTTTTGAGTGCAAATATAACATTTCAATGGACAGTTCAATCCATCTGATCCCAAACGCCACACCTCTGGCTTTTACAACTCTGATTTCCTACATTTCAACTTTCTTGAACTCTCTCTCCTACGATCATCTTCCACTCCCTTCTCTTTTCTTTGCTGAGAAACGACAGCATCACCTGCGTCACGAATCAGTCCTCCACAGACGCTCCGCACTTGCTATGATTTCCACACACAACCAAGCTTCAAACAATGAAAATGTTTCAGAACTGTCCTGTGACACTGAACTAATACTATGTGGCTACCAGCGAACACATGTTAAGTGACAGAAGTGTACTGAGCGTCTCTGGACGTCTCACACACACCGTACACTATCAGAGAGAGACGTACTGATGCATTTATTTCATGAATTCAAGTATGTGAATTATGTATTTGTGTTATATACACTTGAGCTCAGATGCATGACATGTACCTAAAGAATCGATAGTGAAGCCTGATTAAGCAGAACCAGCGGCCAAAACAAAGAGCAGAAAACACACTGTCATCTGTGAAATGTGCTCAACAACTGATTGAGAAATAGTGGCCGCAAAGACTGATGCCAATCAAAGGTGAGTTCTCAAACGTACAGAAGAAAAACAAAGCAAATGAATAGTGATGTTCAGACTGCAGACAAAGATCAATCATTTAATCTGCATGCTAAACACCTGTGTATAACCAGCAACTAAACAAACCTTTTATTTAGGGATGTCCCGATCAGGTCTTTCGTGCCACTGATCCGATCCGAGTCACTGAACACTGAGTATCCACCCAAACTAATCAGTTAAAAACACTTGATCGGCCCCAATCCCCATCCTTGAGATCGGCTCGGGACATCCTACTTTTATTTTTTATGTTTTTATTAGTTATGTTTGTGTTTTAGTACAGTGAGAGCTATAATAAACAAAACAAATAAGATAAACTGCCACTTGTTATAATTAAATGCGTTTACTTGGAAAGCCTGTGAAATTAAGCTGAATGTCTGCAGTTATCAGATGGTTTCAGTCATCAGTAATCAATCATTTCTATTCTGAATTGTCGACTACAGTATTTCCCTCGATAGATGCTACAATGTTTGACAGTTACTCTATTAGCTGTTAGTATCGGGTTCACCGTGTACCAGCCATGGTTATTATCATACAATAAAATAATCAGGTATTAGGGACAAAATATCAACATGACATGGTAATAAAAAGTTAAAATTGAAATGCAAAACAAGGTTTATGTTTTAAGCACAGATCAAGACAAATGCTGACACTGTCAGACACAACGCAATATATCACCTATTTTACATACAGTATGTATATAATATATCACTTCTATTCAAATGTTTACATGTGAATACAGAAAGTGGACAGATTGAATCTTGAAGGTTGGTCTGTGATATGGAGTGTGTACTTTCAGCAGCAGCAGCCTGTGAATGGAGACGATCACCAGCTGAAGAGAGTGCTCTGTCCTAACGTCATGAAGTAGATCTGACTGCTTCCACCCGACTGCACCGCCGCGAAAAACACCTGCACACACACACACACACACGCACGCACGCACGCACGCACGCACAAACACACACACATGTTCCATTTCTGTGCTTTCCATCATCTTATGATGCCTGTAATAATTCTTTGTTCTGTGAGAATAATCTGTAGAGAATTTCTGCATTTCTGAATGTGATATTACACAAGCGTATAGAGATGTTTTCTTACTTTATCGTTTCTCTCACACAGGAACTTGAGCTTCTGAGCCTTCTTGTGCATGAAGACTCCCTCTAGACTGCCCGTCTTGGCGGATCTCAGCTCGATGGCTTTCTCTCCCCATCCCATCACTTGATTCGACTGAAGATAAGCTGCAGATCAACAACAACATCACATCAGCCAGAGCCAGGAATAAACATCTCCAGCTGATTCAGTTCAGTAAAGCTCAGATGATCTGGAGCAAACAGGGGTTTCCATCATTGCTGTTCAACATCAGCAGATCTGAACAAGAATGAGTCTAGTTTATAGGGGTCATGAACTGAGAAACTAAAATTCCCTTGATCTTTTGACATATACGAGGTCACTGTACTTTAAAAACATTGTGTAAGTTTCAGAACTCAAAACTTTCTTGTTAGTCTAAAAACAGTTTATATTGAAGGCAGTCTACCAAAACGACAGGCTGTGGGAATGTTCAACTCAATGATGTAATAGTGTGGATAAGCACCGCTTCCACAGAAGATCAACGCCTGCTTCTACATCACTGCCTGTTTAGCCCCGCCCACCGAGTCTACGTCATGGCCTGTTTAGCCCCGCCCACTAATTGTACAGCACTGCCTGTTTAGCCCCGCCCACCGAGTCTACGTCATGGCCTGTTTAGCCCCGCCCACTAATTGTACAGCACTGCCTGTTTAGCCCCGCCCACCAAGTCTATGTCATGGCCTGTTTAGCCCCACCCACTAATTCTACATTGCTGTATTCTCGCATGTAGTGTTTATGAGAGAGACGAATGCACAGATCTATGCAGAAACCAAACGATAAAATGCTCTGAAGACAAGAAGATGCTGTGCAGAGCCAAGTTGAGGAAAAAAACTGTTTTTCATTGCTTTCCTTCTGATCCCAACATTAGGAAAGAGTGGATGAACTTTATTTTTAATAAAGATACAGACCGCGTCAGTAAGAACTCAGTTCTTTCTTAACTTCATTTTACTGCAAATTCGTTTACAAACAGGGCACAATTTGACAAGGGATTTTCAGAAAGATTGAAGCTAAAAGATGATGCTGTGTGACTGTATTGGATCCGACAGTAATGTCGCAACACACAAGTGTGAGGAACTGTTTTCATTATGTGATCACTATTGTTTTGTCTCTTCTTACAGATCGTTTGATATGTATTGAGTTATTTATGTGTTTTTGACATAAATCACAGCATCGTCCATCTGTGAGAAATGTAGGCTGTCAATCATACACAACTATTAGCCAATCACAGCAGTGGGCGTTTACTTCTGAGTCTACAATCCTCCACAGCTACTCAAACAGAGCGTTCTGATGAGGGGGGTTAAAAACTGGACAGAAAATAGCTTATTACTTCTAAATAATGATGTTCTTTGATGTAAAAATCTTGATAACATTATAAGTGGACCTCAGAGAACAGTACAAAAAAAACCAGAGGCAGTTCATGACTCCTTTTAAAAGCATGTGTGAAACCATTCCAATAGCATGGCAGGACATCAACCCATAACATAAGACATCATTACCAGGAAGTTCAATAAATAGTTCTATGTGAAAGATGTTTGTCTTACTCAGTGTTGTCTGTCCCTTTGCCAGTGTGCAATCCAAAACAATTGTAACCAAACAGCAAATGTTTGTCCAAAAAGCAAGCTTGACATGCGTTCCTTGCATGCTAATGTACAACCTCCATATCTGGGCCTGCCATTTTTTTGCTGTGATCATGGAAGAAACTTGAGTCCCTAATGAATAATTCTACCATCATGGAGTTGAAAGAACAGGGGTATGATACGGCATTGTCCCTTGAGGCCCCATCATTACCCACCAAGCCATGGAGAACAGCTTCGGCCTTGGTGGGTAAAGCTTATAGAGCAACAGGTCAAGCTGGTGCATGCCTGAACACGATGGCTTTGAGACCTAGATGAGGGCGAGGGAGTAGGCCCAGATGCAGTTTAAGAGCTGTGCTGGGCCACCACGGAGACGGCCAGAGCCATCAGCTGTTCTCTGGCAGCCCTGATGGTCTCTTGCTAAACTTGTCCAATATTAAGGAAAAGGACAAGTCCTTTTTGTTGGATGCCCCACTTTCTCCTCCTGGCCTCTTCAGGGATGCTGTCACCTCAGTTGTCAAGAGAGCTTTTAGGAGTCAAAAAAATCTCTTATCTTCCTCGCCGAGCTCAGGTCTCAACCAGCTCCTCATACAGGGCGCAGCATAAATAGAGTGTCGCCTCGCAAGAATGGGGTCGGGGCGGCGCTCTCAGCCAAAGCCTGGTAAGGGGAAGAAGAACCTGAGGACCGTCATCCTCTCTAAGAAGGCCAGGAGCATCAGTCCTCTGAGGGCAGGCTGTTCCGGGGTGAAGTGGTTTACACCTTAGCATATGGTGCCCACTTCTCCTCTGTGCCTTCAGGGGACTGTTCTGCCAACCCGCCGCTTCTGGTGCTTCAGGACAGCGTTTTCCTAGCTCAATCCTTCACCCTCGCCCGTAGATGCAGAAACTAAGGGTTTGGCCCCTGAGGGGCCCCATTCATAGATTCCAGTCTCTCAACTGAGGTTGTTGAGACCATACTTCACTCCAGAGCTCCCTCCACGAGGAACTCGTGCTCCCTCAAGTGGAGTATTTTCCCTTCATGTTGCAGAACAGTGTACAGTACAGTGCTGGAGCTCCTGCAGGATCGGTTATCTTAGTAACGTCTCTTAAGAGAGTAAAAAAAAAAATACTTAAAAAAAAAGTATTAACTTTTAATATTAACTTATTTTTTTATTATTTTATTATTAGCTTCTATATTATTCAAGACACATTACTTTAGCTGGTGTGTTTGTTTGCCTTTACTCCGTGTGTGGTACACTTCATATAGAGACACTGCTGAGGGAATGGAGATGCAGTGAATGTTCTCGTCTGTTATTCAAACAGAGAAAGAGAAATAATCAGATCTTATGGCTCTCACTGGATTGCCTTCTGTTTCATCACGCATCACGTGCCATGAGTACAGGCCTGCTCACACCGAGAACAATAATGATATTAGCTTCACGTTTGATCGGAGCGCATGCTTCAGTTGCGTTCTCAGAAGATAAATGCATGACTTCAGCTCTGAAAGCAATGCCAAAGATATTGTTCCAGTTGTGATGTGGATTTTTGGAAACTTCAGAGTCTTTATTGTGATCAGCCTCATCCAGAGCTGAAGAACGGTGACGGCTTTTCTCCACTCCATCTGCTGCTGTGTAGGAAGTGAGGTGACTCATCCATCCAAATGACTTGTTTTGCTTTTTCACATTTAGAGTCTCATGCACATCAGTCATTACAAGAACTTCCTTAATATGATTGCAGCTCTTGAGGAGTAACATAGCTCTCGAGCTCAGATACATAAGACAATCAGATCCATACTGCACACTGAACAGATAATCACTGTATGTTATGTGCATCATGTGAGTGAGCGTGTGTGTGTGTGTGTGTGTGTGTGTGGAGTGCTGGAGCTCACCCACAGAGGCGGGCATCTCCCCCCACTGCAGCACCGTCTCCCTGGTGATGCGGCCATAGGTGTCAATATAGATGCCCTCGTCCTCGTAACACAGCAACAGCTCCATCCCACTGCTGCTGGGGAGGATGATGATGGCATGCGGCCGAATCACACCTTGGATCTGAAACACACAGGCATTCTGTTATAAAGAGATTAACAGTAACTGCCTTAATAAATCCAGTCTGTGTCAGCAAATAGAATTCACAGATATGACACTCTACTGTACTGCTTATGCTATGGAGTCACATCACCCATAGTTCCTCTCAAGTACATTTACATTTAACAGCAGGTCACCTGGTCATTACATGAAAGTAGTATTTTCATGTTAAAGTTGTAAATTATATAAAGTGGTATATTATTAGAGAAAAATGTATACTAATGCACTAATAAATGTTAATAAAATATGCACTAATACTATGTATAGTTGAGACATCTTACATTTATGCTTTATAATAAAATCAATTAAATTATGTTTTTAAACAAAGGGGCACATATAACAAAATTATTAGAGAAGCAAAATTTGGAAATTGGAAAGACAAGCACTTGTCTGAAACACATCGTTATAAATAACATACAGCTACATTAGCCTGTAAATTTGATACGAATCCAAGTCAGAGTTTGCATCTTTAAAAAAAAAAAAGGGTGGTATAAACAAGTTTTGTGGGTAAAAACAATATGAGGTAAATCAGACAAAAAGGTCATTAATAAAATGTATCCTTCAGGCTCACTGCATAATAAATTGCTGAGATACAGAAACTTGCAGACACAAATTGTTCTTTATTACAAACATACAGCAGTCAACCATTTACAAGTGCAGCCTTGGGCTACGTCTACATTAATCCGGATAACGGTGTTTTCATTTTAAAACACTGTCCGTCCACGCTAGCGTTTTCAAGCATTTTCCAAAAGTTTCTCATCCACACTGAAACGTCAGGAAATGTTACATTTGCTTTACTGCACATGCGTAAAGCCTCAAAAAAGCTCACTGAGACAATACAGAACAGACATGATACGTTTTCATGCAATTCTTCTGGCAGGATCATTTTATTTAGGAAAATATCTAATTCACCGACGCATTCAGGCTGCACGCACTTCTGATTGTATGTCTGATCTAAATCACAACTGCCCTCATGTTTTGCCGCAAACAGCAATCAGAAGTAAATTTTCTGTCATCTTTGTAGGACTGTGATATGAAGAGTCACGGTGTAATGTAACACATCTGTAGCAACAGTGTGAAAGTGAATAGCACATAACAGGAACAATACCGGTATAAACATAGATATCTATTGGTACAATATGTGTCACATGACTCCATTTTCACAGTCCACACTACAGCACAAAAACTGCGTTTTCAAATTTATCCACTTTAAAGAGCGTTTTCAAAAAGCTTAATTTTCTTTGACAAAAATGCAATCTCAGTGTGGATGGAAGGCCAAAACGGAGTGAAAAATATGCGTTTTCAGATGAAAACGTATTAGTGTGGACAAGGTCTTGGAAGCCATAAATGTAACCTGTCTAATAATGCATATAGTAAGTCAATATCAGAGTTCTGTGTTATCTGGTGGTCCCATGCCTGGTAGTCCCAAGTACAGTGTACCCACATCCAGTGGTCCTGGAGGTCCCAGATCTGGTGGTCCCAGGTCTTGTGACCCTGGAGGTCCCAGGTCTGGTGGTCCATGAGGTTCCAGGTCTTGTGGCCCAGCTCTGATGGTCCCAGAGGTCCCAGGTCTGGTGGTACTATAGGTCCCAAGTCTTTGGGTCCTGGACGTCCCAGATCTTGTGGTCCCGGAGGTCCCAAGTCTTGTAGCCCCGGAGGTCCCAGGTCTGGTGGTCCTGGAGGTCCCGGGTCTTGTGGCCCATGAGGTCCCAGATCTGGTGGTCCCAGGTCTTGTGACCCTGGAGGTCCCAGGTCTGGTGGTCCCGGAGGTTCCAGGTCTTGTGGCCCCGGAGGTCCCAGCTCTGATGGTCCCAGAGGTCCCAGGTCTGGTGGTACTATAGGTCCCAGATCTGGAGGTCCCGGGTCTTGTGGCCCCTGAGGTCCCAGGTCTGAGGGTCCTGGAGGTCCCTGGTCTTGTGGCCCCGGAGGTCCCAGGTCTGGTAGTCCCAGAGGTCCCAAGTCTTGTGGTCCTGGAGATCCCATTTCTGGTGGCACCGGAGGTCCCAGGTCTGGTGGTCCTGGAGGTCCCAAGTCTTGTGGTCCTGGAGATCCCATGTCTGGTGGCCCCGGAGGTCCCAGGTCTGGTGGCCCCGGAGGGCCTTCCAATATACTCAGTGCTTCCAATGAAGGCTGCCGATGTCCCGAGTGCGTGGGCCGCACACACTTCCCTGTCTGACACCTTCGGCACAGAGGTGACAGTGTCCCTGCCATAAAGGCAATGGCATCTGCCCTCAAACTCTCTGGCCTAGCTGGGAAGGCAGTCCCAGAGTCCACTCCAGCCTCGGAGCCACCCTGCTCCACCATCTTCTGCTCTGACATGGTCTCCATTTCCACTGGCTCTGCCTCGATCCATTGCTCCACTGTGCTGTCCAGGTCTTTTCCACTTCATGGTCCTGTCCTGTCCCTCTATCCCTCTCTTTAGTCCTCCTCAGCTCCACCACCATCCTGGATTTTTTTTTTTTTTTTTTTTTTTTTCATGG